TCTAGTAGGCCAAGGTTGATGTTGAAGTCTCCAGCTAAGAGAAGGTGGTGCTTATTCATTTGTCTGTTTGTTATTAGTGACTTTAATTTCTCACTGAAATTTGGGATGTTTGTGTGGGGTATCCAGTAAATGGCACCGATTGTTATAGGCGTCTTAAGGTTTTTTACAGTAAAATTAGCAAAAATGTATTCTCCATATTCATCACTAAAGCAAGTGGTGCTAATACAAGATAATTGGTTAGAGTAATAGATTGCAATACCACCCCCAACTTGGTATGGTCTGCAGTTGTGGATTGCTGTGTATCCTGGTAGATGGTAGATATCTATTGTGTCCTGCTTAAGCCAGGTCTCAGCAAGAATAATGCAGGAGAAGGGCATCTTTAGTGATTCAAGGAGTGCCAGGAGGTCATCATAGTGTTTGCTTAAGGACCTGATGTTGTAGTTAAGTACTGATAGACTTTTAGCATTGTTTAGGATAGTGCTGGCTTGTGATGCTGTGTAGTAAAGGCAGTTACTTTCCAATAGGTTTTGATTGTGTGTCAGATTATGGAGGTTTAGATCAGGGTCAACGTGATCAATCATCTTCTAGGTTTAAATTATGGTTATTTATATCCTGAGTTGTGTGTTTTAGTACTGATATCTGTAGTGGTGGGAAGATATGTTGTGTGACAGAGGTCCAGTGACTCTCAAGCTGGTCCTAGTGGCATTAAAAGAAGGGAAGTAACCCCGGAAAAGGACTTGCCACCTCAAGTCCTAATGGAAGGGGATTCCCCTTCTAAACACTAACACCACCAACACTCTCCCCTCCTCCCATCCCATCAATCATCACCAGATCTTCAATAAAGGTAAGTGTCATGTAACTGTGCATGTCTTCAGTTTGTGTGTATTAAAATTAATATTTCATGTGGTAAAAATTTTTTTTTGTTCATACTTTGGGGTGTCAGGAACGGATTAATTTGATTTCCATTATTTCTTATGGGGAAAATTAATTCAACTAACGATAATTTCACCTAACATTGAGCTCTCAGGAACAGATAAATAGCGTTAGGCGAGGGTCCACTGTATATGGAGAGAAAAAGAAAGGTTGAGAGAGTGGTGAAGCAGTGTAAAAAGAGAGCAAATGAGAGTGGGTGAGATGTTATCAACAAATTTTGTTGAAAATAAGAAGAAGTTTTGGAGCAAGATTAATATGTTCAGGAAGCCTAGGGAACAAATGGATTTGACAGTTAAAAATAGGAGAGGAGAGTTATTAACTGGAGAGTTAGAAGTATTGGAAAGATGGAGGGAATATTTTGAGGAATTGTTAAATGGTGATGAAGATAGGGAAGCTGTGATTTCGTGTATATGGCAAGGAGGAATAACATCTTGTAGGAGTGAGGAAGAGCCAGTTGTGAGTGTGGGGGAAGTTCGTGAGACAGTGGGTAGAATGAAAAGGGGTAAGGCAGCTGGGATTGATGGGATAAAGATAGAAATGTTAAAAGCAGGTGGGGATATAGTTTTGGAGTGGTTGGTGCTATTATTTAATAAATGTATGGAAGAGGGTTAGGTACCATGGGATTGGCAGAGAGCATGCATAGTTCCTTTGTATAAAAGCAAAGGGGATAAAAGTGTGTGCAAAAATTATAAGGGAATAAGCTTGAGTATACCTGGTAAATTGCATGGGAGAGTTATTCTTGAAAGAATTAAGAGTAAAACGGAGAGTAGGATAGCAGATGAACAAGGAGGCTTTAGGAAAGGTAAGGGGTGTGTAGACCAAGTGTTTACAGTGAAACATATAGGTGAATAGTATTTAGATAAGGGTAAAGAGGTTTTTGTGGCATTTATGGATTTGGAAAAGTCTTGTGACAGGGTGGATAGAGGGGCAATGTGGCAGATGTTGCAGATATATGGTAGAGTAGGTAGGTTACTGAAAGCAGTGAAGAGTTTTTACGAGGATAGTGAGGCTCAGGTTAGGGTATGTAGGAGAGAGGGGGATTATTTCCCAGTAAAAGTAGGCCTTAGATAAGGATGTGTGATGTCACCATGGTTGTTCAATATATTTATAGATGGGGTTGTAAGAGAAGTGAATGCTAGGGTCTTGGCAAGAGGTGTGGAGTTAAAAGATAAAGAATCAAACACAAAGTGGGAGTTGTCACAGTTGCTCTTTGCTGATGACACTGTGCTTTTGGGAGATTCTGAAGAGAAGTTGCAGAGGATGGTGGATGAATTTGGTAGGGTATGTAAAAGAAGAAAATTAAGAGTGAATATAGGAAAGAGTAAGGTTATGAGCATAAAAAGATTAGGTGACGAAAGATTGGATATCAGATTGGAGGGAGAGAGTATGGAGGAGGTGAATGTATTCAGATATTTAGGAGTGGACATGTCAGCAGATGGGTCTATGAAGGATGAGGTGAATCATAGAATTGATGAGGGGAAAAGGGTGAGTGGTGCACTTAGGAGTTTGTGGAGACAAAGAACTTTGTCCATGGAAGCAAAGAGGGGAATGTGTGAGAGTATAGTTGTACCGTACCAACACTCTTGTATGGGTGTGAAGCATGGGTGATGAATGTTTCAACGAGAAGGCTGGAGGCAGTGGAGATGTCATGTCTGAGGGCAATGTGTGGTGTGAATATAATGCAGAAAATTCGTAGTTTGGAAATTAGGAGAAGGTGTGGGATTACCAAAACTATTATCCAGAGGGCTGAGGAGGGGTTGTTGGGGTGGTTCGGACATGTAGAGAGAATGGAATAAAACAGAATGACTTCGAGTGTATAAATCTGTAGTGGAGGGAAGGTGGGGCAGGGGTCGGCCTAGGAAGGGTTGGAAGGACAGGGTAAAGGAGGTTTTGTGTGCGAGGGGCTTGGACTTTCAGCAAGTGTGCGTGAGCGTATTTGATAGGAGTGAATGGAGACAAATGGTTTTTAATACTTGACATGCTGTTGGAGTGTGAGCAAAATAACATTTATGAAGGGATTCAGGGAAACTAGCAGGCAGGACTTGAGTCCTGAGATGGGAAGTACTACAGTGTCTACACTCCGAAGTAGGGGTGTTAATGTTACAGTTTTATGACTGTACTGTAAAGCACCCTTCTGGCAAGACAGTGATGGAGTGAATGATGATGAAATTTTTTCAGGCCACCCTGCCTCGGTGGGAGATGGCCGACTTGTTAAAAAAAAATATATATACTTATGTATGTTTTTTTTGTTTTAACAAGTCGGCCATCTCCCACCGAGGCAGGGTGACCCAAAATGAAAGAAAATCCCCAAAAAGGAAATACTTTCATCATCATTCAACACTTTCACCTCACTCACACATAATCACTGTTTTTGCAGAGTTGCTCAGAATACAACAGTTTAGAAGCATATACGTATAAAGATACACAACATATCCCTCCAAACTGCCAATATCCCAAACCCCTCCTTTAAAGTGCAGGCATTGTACTTCCTATTTCCAGGACTCAAGTCCGGCTATATAAAAATAACTGATTTCCCTGAATTCCTTCACTAAATATTACCCTGCTCACACTCCGACAGCTCGTCAGGTCCCAAATACCACTCGTCTCCATCACTCCTATCTAACACGCTGACGCACGCTTGCTGGAAGTCCAAGCCCCTCGCCCACAAAACCTCCTTTACCCCCTTCCTCCAACCTTTTCGAGGATGACCCCTACCCCGCCTTCCTTCCCCTACAGATTTATACGCTCTCCATGTCATTCTACTTTGATCCATTCTCTCTAAATGACCAAACCCTCTCAACAACCCCTCTTCAGCCCTCTGACTAATACTTTTATTAACCTCACACCTCCTAATTTCCACACTCCGAATTTTCTGCATAATATTTGCACCACACATTGCCCTTAGACAGGACATCTCCACTGCCTCCATCCGCCTCCTCGCTGCTGCATTTACAATCCAAGCTTCACACCCATATAAGAGTATTGGTACTACTATACTTTCATACATTCCCTTCTTTGCCTCCATAGATAATGTTTTTTGTCTCCACATATACCTCAGTGTACCACTCACCTTCATCAATTCTATGATTAACCTCATCCTTCATAAATCCATCCGCTGACACGTCAACTCCCAAATACGTATCTGAAAACATTCACTTCTTCCATACTCCTCCTCCCCAATTTGATATCCATTTTTCTTTACCTAAATCATTTGATACCCTCATCACCTTACTCTTTTCAATTTTCACTTTCAACTTTCTACCTTTGTACACACTCCCAAACTAGTCCACTAACCTTTGCCGTGTTTCTTTAGAATCTCCCATAAGCACAGTATCATCAGCAAAAAGTAACTGTGTCAATTCCCATTTTGTATTTGATTCCCCATAATTTAATCCCACCCCTCTCCCAAACACCCTAGCATTTACTTCTTTTACAACCCCATCTATAAATATATTAAACAACCATGGTGACATTACACATCCCTGTCTAAGACCTACTTTTACCCGGAAGTAGTCTCCCTCTCTTCTACACACCCTAACCTGAGCCTCACTATCCTCATAAAAACTCTTTACAGCATTAGCAACTTACTACCTATTCCATATACTTCCAACATATACTTGCATTCATCCACTTTTGCCCAGTTCCTCGGGCTTTTTTAATATGCTCTTTTATTAAGACATCCATAGATGAATATGAGGTGCACAAATAGTAATGTGCACTCAATAGCCAAATCTAATAAAACTAAGCCTTCTAGAACTATCAGATTTAGTCTGAACAATATTTTCCAGTATAATTTCTGTTTTTTGATGTTGTCCTCAAGGACTAGACAAAACCTATGTTACAGTATTTTTGTCTGCTTTTTATTTTGTTAAGTTTACAAGTGTTCATCTATCAGCCCCCAAAAAAGATGGGCAAGAATTTTTAGGAGGTTCGGCCACCTATGGCAAGTTTCTCTCAGGAAAATGTTTTGTAAAGTTCTTTGAATGGTTGTTTTTCAACCATACTTGTAACATGTCTTTGGAGTGACTGTTTTTATTCAAGAATTGATGAACCCCCTCTCTCTTCAGATCTTGGACGAGGCAAAACGTGTAGCTCATCTGGACAAGTTTGGAGAAGATATTCCTGAGTATTCATAAAGATGTTCATTACTAGTGGGAAAAGGTATGGATTTGATATTGTTTAAGTTCGTTAAAATGAAAAATATACTATTCACATATAGATTTTTCAAGAGAATCTATATTATGATGAAAATAAAATGATCATATCTTTGTATGGTTGTCATCAAGAAACAGTATCTTTTATTTTTATCTGTTTAGTCCATTATTAGTGTGTGACACTAAATTGCTGAAATAGTATATTAAAAAGTGCTCATTTAGTAGATAAAAATCATAAGCAGTTAACCAATAATAGCTAGTATCCATTGCTGTTTAAACCCCGTAAACGCGTCCCATTCCAAACGTATTTTATAAGTTATATGTTGTCATACATTTAACATTTGCCACGATTAAGCCGAGTTCACCTAGACATGATGTGAATGGATCGTGAGCACTCACTGGGTGCCATATTAAAAATTATTGGGGATGCCTTGGGTTTACCATATGCCTTTCTTTTTTTTTTTTTTTCTTTTTTTTTTTTTTTTTTTTTTTTTTTTTTTTTTTTTTCAAACAAATTTGGGGCAGTATGGTAGTGAACGTATATATACGTTTGGACCGTTTACGGGTTAACAATCAGTGTTTACTGATAAAAAAAATAAAATCATTTTACAGTGATGAACAGTGTTCACGCAACCTAAATTTTCAGAAAATTGTATTGAATGTCCTTATTTTAACCCTTTCATCTGTCCAGAGAATCTTTTTCTGAAAGTAATGACATCAAAAGTATGAAATTTAATGGAATTATGTAGACACAAAGTTAGCAGTCTGGGCAGTTTACACATTAACAATTTTGCCCACTTTGGGTCCTATTTAAGTCAATTCTGTTGCTCCTTTCAACCAAATTCTTAGCTATTTTGCTAATGTACTTTTCATTCTGTCGATTAAGCACAAAAAACTGATAATTTCAGCTATTACAGTTACCTTATAAAGTACCCAACAGTTAATAATTTGGCCAGTTTTACACAAAATTAAAAATACCAATTTAAAAATAGTGCAAAATAAGCAGTGTACGACATTCGTTTTGGGCAACTAAACACTTTATCTCATGATTCATTAGTCACATCCCCAGGCCTCTCCCATATTACACATTTTGAATTCATAATCACAAAAGCGATAGATTTGCTCCTGTTTCCCAGATAAACAATTATACCCCGGAATGATTGGTTTGATTTTATAGCATCCCAGTAAATTGAATTCAGACTTATTAATAAACCATAAAAACGATGGTGTGTGTGAAGGGGACCTAGCCTCCTTGAGAAAAATTGAGCAAAAAAAAAAAAAAACAAAAAAGCCCAATTTCAAGTTACTTCTAGTCCTGTGAAACCAATCAAAATTACTCTATTCAGTAGATATGTAGTATGTTTCCCATTCTGTCAGATGATGCGAAGTAAACTGCAATAAAAAACCATTAACAATAAACCAATCCTAGGAAAAACATCAATACAATGTCTCTTCTAAATAAAAAGGTGCATGATCACTTTTGCTTTTTCCTCAATCATGCACACTGTGTGAGAGGTAGTATTTTTTTTTTTTTTTTAAATCCGTTAACACACTTTTTTTTTTTATACAAGTCTGGCCGTCTCCACAGAGGTAGGGTGGCAGGGTGAACCAAAAACGAAAGAAAATACCAAAAAGAAAATACTTTTATCATCAGTTCAACACTTTCACCCTCACTCACACATAATCACTGTTTTTGCAGAGGTGCTCAGAACACAACAGTTAAGAAGCATATACACGTACGTATAAAGATACACGACATATCCCTCCAAACTGCTAATATACCGAACCCCTCCTTTAGAGTGCAGGCATTGTACTTCCCATTTCCAGGACTCAAGTCCGGCTATATAAAAATAACCGGTTTCCCTTCACTAAATATTACCCTGCTCACACTCCAACAGATCGTCATGTCCCAAATACCATTCGTCTCCATTCACTCCTATCGAACATGCTCATGCATGCCTGCTGGAAGTCCAAGCCCCTCACCCACAAAACCTCCCTTACCCCTTCCTTCCAACCTTTTCGAGGACAACCCCTACCCCGCCTTCCTTCCCCTACAGATTTATACGCTCTCCATGTCATTCTACTTTGAATCGTTCTCTCTAAATGACCAGACCACCTCAACAACCCCTCTTCAGCCTTCTGACTAATACTTTTATTAACTCCACACCTTCTAATTTCCACACTCCGAATTTTCTGCATAATATTTACACCACACATTGCCCTTAGACAGGACATCTCCACTGCCTCCAATCGCCTCCTCGCTGCTGCATTCACAACCCAAACTTCACACCCATATAAGAGTGTTGGTACTACTATACTTTCATACATTTCCTTCTTTGCCTCTATAGATAATGTCTCCACATATACCTCAACGCACTGCTCACCTTTTTTCCCTCATCAATTCTACGATTAACCTCATCCTTCATAAATCCATCCGCCGACACGTCAACTCCCAGGTATCTGAAAACATTCACTTCTTCCATACTCCTCCTCCCCAATTTGATATCCAATTTTTCTTTATCTAAATCATTTGATACCCTCATCACGTTACTGCACAGCTTATGAGCAAGCCAAGTTCATGATGTAGAATTACACAGGGGGACCTTGGCCTCAATGACACAGTTCTGTGTGACAGCCACTGAAAGGGTAAACTAATGTTTGTTATTCTTTATCTGATATTTAGTCTTGGCCATAAAACTCGAGAGAATTTTCCTTAAGCATTAGAGCTTAATGGAGAGAGAAAATATATGGTTACCCATAACAACACATCAAATTAAAGTTAGTGGATAAATTGAGTACTTGGTTCATATATTTTTATTGATAAAGTAATAAAAATATTTTTCATTTCAGTGGATCAGGTCAGCATTGTAGCCAGTGTAGTTCAAATACAGCTTACTTTAAACTTCATGTAAATCTTTCATTGTTGACAAAGAAAATTTTACAAAATGTAGCCCTTAAACCGGTGAAGTGTGAAAAGTACATAAGGAGTTACTACAGCAAGCCTTGTGTTATTCTTGATCTGACGGAAAGGATGTCACTTGAAGATATCAAACTACTTAACTTCTACATTGGGAAAAGAATTTTTTTGACTGAAAAGTGTACACTTATAGCTAGGTTAAATATAAATAACACTTTTATACCTTATTTATGTTACAGACAGCCTTATGTAAAATAGCTTTAACGTATGAACTGCAGCTCATGTTTCCTCAGTATGAGTTTGAATTTTCACGTTATCACCATATTATTTACACTAGAGGCATTACATACATTTTTAAATGTTTTAGCCTTTATTGTATAAATTAATAGTTATACAGTGGACCCCCGCCTTGTGATATTAATCCGTTCCTGAGAGCTCATCGTAAGCCAAATTAATTTTCCCATAAGAAATAATGGAAATCAAATTAATCCGTTCCTGACACTCCAGAGTATGAAAAAAAACTTTTTTACCACATGAAATATTAATTTTAATACACACAAGCTGATGAAGACATGCACAATTACTACTCTACTAAGAGAATACATGACACTTGCCTTTATTGAAGATCTGGTGGTGATTGAAGGGATGGGAGGAGGGGAGTGTGTGAAAGTTATTGTTTAGAAGGGGAATCCCCTTCCATTAGGACTTGAGGTAGCAAGTCCTTTTCTGGGGTTACTTCCCTTCTTTTAATGCCACTAGGACCAGTTTGAGAGTCACTGGACCTCTGTCGCACAACAGATCTGTCCATAGAGCTATGTACCTCCCGTTCCTTAAAGACTTTCCTAAAATGGGCCATAACATTGTCATTGTACAGGTTGCCAACACGGCTTGGAGTAGCTGTGTCAGGGTGATTTTCATCCGTAAAGGTTTGCAGTTCAACCCACTTTGCACACATTTCCTTAATCTCTTTTTTCAATTCCATACTAATTCTCGCCCTTTTTATCACAGGGATGGCACTAGAAGCTTTCTTGGGGTCCATGGTGACTTATTTTGCAGCTACAAGCACTAAAAACACTGGGATAATGTGAAATGTACCGAATGTATGCGTAGATGCGACCGCACTGGCTGGCTTGTAAACATTGGCGCTGAGGCCACACGTGGGACGTGTCCCAGACGAATAACGTAAGGCGAGTTTTTTATCGTGAGGCGAGGCAAAATTTTTGCGTTCAAATGCTTCGTATGGTGGATTTAACGTAACGCGATGCGTTCGTAAGGTGGGGGTCCACTGTATATGTGTATATATATTCACAGGGAAGTGTTAAGCCCATAGAGATCTGAAAGCGCCTGAGGAATGGGATGTACAGTGGACCCCCGGTTAACGATATTTTTTCACTCCATAAGTATGTTCAGGTGCCAGTACTGACTGAATTTATTCCCATAAGGAATATTGTGAAGTAGATTAGTCCATTTCAGACCCCCAAACATACACGTACAAACGCACTTACATAAATACACTTACATAATTGGTCGCATTCGGAGGTAATCGTTATGCGGGGGTCCACTGTAATTAGGAGAGGGGGAGCTCAAATTCCTTAAATTATGTCATCCTGCATCCCATAATTTTTCTTCTGAATTTTGATCTTCCAAAAGAAATCTTTAAGAGCAGTCACTTGTAGATAAAAATATTTTTCTTCAGATACTTAAATACTTGCCAGATAGTTTGGCATATATGTAATACATATTGGTTACAATGGTGTGCATGCACAATGCAAGTTTTTCTTTTTTTTGTGTGTGTGATAAAAAGTATTTTAATTAATATGTCTAGTATGTAGTTCATTATAACTTGCATAAACTAAATGCTTGTAACTATGAAAAAATTAAAACCCCCCAAAAATTTTGAGTACTGAAAGTTATTTTTTGTCTGATTTTTTTTGTTGTTTTTTGCACAAAATAGCAAATTACCATTAAGGCCTGAAATTAGTGACAATTTCAAATGTATTCATATCTAAATCTAGGTAACGTAGTGATTACAAATACCTCAGGTTAGTAATTTACTGTTTCTGTTTTTTTTTTTTTTTTTTTTTTTTTTTTAGCCAAAAAATCATTGTATTAGGGGGAAAACGCTAAATCATGGGCATTGTACAGCATGGGGAATATTAAACTTGTTGTGGTGTAGCATTAGTATTGCTAAACTCAAACCAAAAATGACAAAACCAAAGGGCAAAAAACAAGCAATTTAATTCACTTGTTTTTTATTCAAGAATTAATTTACACTGCATCCTAGGGTAAATATTTTGTCTAATATATTTTCTTACTTTTCTTTCATGTTTTGTACTATATTATAAATCTAAAGGCCCAAATATTGACAAAAATTTTTAACAAGGTTTTCTAGTTGCATTTTTTCCTTTTTTTTTTTTTTTTTTTTTATTTACTTTTAACCCCAAAAAAATTATTTTTTTTAACCTAATAATTTTTATTTTTTCACAAAAAAGTGCTAAACCTGTATGGTATTCAGCTATTTTCTTTAACCTAAGCTGCTAGTTCAATTGCTGTATAAACTTACTAGGGGCAGCAATTTGTAGACTTAATGTGACAATAGCTGATGTCAAGTGATTTTATACAGATTGAGCTATAAAATAGCTGAATGTAAGTGTGGATCATTCATATCCTATGGTTAATAGACAGATTAGAAAATGCTCTCAAAATTTGAAATCACTAATAATGTTATATTTTGATCTTTTAATTAAAATTTTGTTGGGGGGGTGGGAAGGAAGCAAGTTGTCATAAAAGCCATTAAAAAAAATGTATTCATTAACTCAAGGTAAAATGACTTGAGACCTAATTTCTTGAATGATACTGACTTATCCATGAATGGTATATGAATACTTTAATATAGTTTTCTCCTGCATATTAAATATTAATTGGGGATATGATCACCAGATTGACTTAACATTCATTTTTATGTAGAGTACTAGTACTTCGTGTATAGGGCAAGGAGGAATAACATCTTGTAGGAGTGAGGAAATGAGCCAGTTGTGAGTGTGGGGGAAAGTTCGGTGAGGCAAATAGGTAAAATGAAAAGGGGGTAAGGCAGCCGGGGAATTGGGATTGATGGGAAAAAGATAGATAATGTTTAAAAGAGGTGGGGATATAGTTTTGGAGTGGTTGGTGCAATTATTTAATAAATGTATGGAAGAGGGTAAGGTACCTAGGGATTGGCAGAGAGCATGCATAGTTCCTTTGTATAAAGGCAAAGGGGGATAAAGAGAGTGCAAAAACTATAGGGGGATAAGTCTTGTTGAGTTTGTACCTGGTAAAGTGTATGGTAGAGTTTTATATTGATGAATTAAGAGTAAGACGGAGAATAGGATAGCGGATGAACAAGGAGGCATTAGGAAGGTAGGGCGTTGTGTGGACCTAGGTCGCTTTTACAGTGAAAATATATAACGTGAACAGTATTTAGATAGGCTTAAAGAGGTCTTTGTGGCATTTATGGATTTGGAAAAGGCGTATGACAGGATGATAGGGGGGGCAATGTGGCAGATGTTGCAAGTGTATGGTGCTTAGGAGGTACGGTTACTGAAAGCATGTGAAGAGTTTTTTTTACGAGGATCAGTGAGGGCTCAAGTTAGAGTAATGTCAGGAACAGAGGGAATTTTTTCCCAGTAAAGTAGCCTTAGACAAGAGTTGTGTGATGTCACGTGGTTTGTTTAATATATTTATAGATGGGGTTGTAAGAGAAGAAGTAAAGCGAGGGTTTTGGCAAGAGGCGTGAAGTTGTAAAAGATAAAGAATCACACACAAAGTGGGAGTTGTCACGCTGCCTCTTTGCTGATGACACTGTGCTCTTGGGAGATTTCTGACGAGAAGTTGCAGAGATTGGTGGATGAATTTGGTGGTGTGTGCAAAAGAGCAAAATTAAAGGTGAATACAGGGAAAGAGTAAGGTTATGAGGATAACAAAAAGATTAGGTGATAAGATTGAACATCAGATTGGAGGAGACGAGTATGGAGGAGTGTGAACGTAATTCAGATATTTAGAGGGAGTGGTGGGGCGTTGGGGTCAGCGGATGGGGTCTATGAAAGATGAGGTGATCATAGAATTGATGAGGGAAAAAGAGTGAGTAGAGTGCTACTTAGGCAGTCTGTGGAAACAAAGAACTTTCGTCCTTGGGAGGCAAAGAGGTGGAAGGAATGTATGAGAGTATAGTTTTACCAACGCTCTTATATGGGTGTGACGGTGGGTGATGATGTTGCAGCGAGGAGAAGGCTGGAGGCGTGGAGATGTCATGTCTGAGGGCAATGTGTGGTGTTGAATATGTAATGCAGAGGAATTGTAGTTTGGAAGTTAGGAGGAGGTGCGGGATTACCAAAAATGTTGTCCAGAGGTGAGGAAGGGTTGTTGAGGTGGTTCGGACATGTAGAGGAAATGGATCGAAACAGAATTGACTTCAAGAGTGTATCAGTCTGTAGTGGAAGGAAGGGGGGTAGGGGTCGGCCTAGGAAGGGTTGGAGGGAGGGGGTAATAAAGTGAGGTTTTGGTGCGAGGGGCTTGGACATCTCCTGCAGGCATGCGTGAGGTGTTTGATAGGAGTGAATGGAGACAAATGGTTTTTAATATCTTGACGTGCTGTGGAGTGTGAGCAAAGTAACATTTATGAAGGGATTCAGGGAAACCGGCAGGCCGGACTTGAGTCCTGGAGATGGGAAGTACAGTGCCTGCACTCTGAAGGAGGGGTGTTAATGTTGCAGTTTAAAAACTGTAGTGTAAAGCACCCTTCTGGCAAGACAGTGATGGAGTGAATGATGGTGAAAGTTTTTCTTTTTCGGGCCACCCTGCCTTGGTGGGAATCGGCCGGTGTGATAATAAAAAAAATAATAAAAATACTAGTGTCCTACAACTGTCACTGCATTTCACTTAATGTACCACATATTCACTTATGTAGCCTAGGGAGAGGAATTTAGTGCCCTTCACATTATTATTATTATAATCAAAAAAGAAGCGCTAAGCCACAAGGACTATACAGCTCCCTTCACATAAGTGGCAGGTATCGTACGATTCACTTTAACCACCTTTACAGGAAGGAATTGGTCACGATGGTAGCATCTTAGGCTATGGTTTCAAATAAATTAAAAATACATGTATATATTTAATACACACATTGTACTATACAACTATCAGTACTTGCCAAATTAGAACTGTGTTGGCAGTATAAATTGTCCTTTATTTTTTTTTTTTTTTTTTTTTACCGCCTGTTCAGTGATCGTAGTTAACCTTAATACCAGATTCTGTATTTTATTTTTTTTTTTTTTTTTTGGATGTAACAGCTGTCTCCCACCAAGGCAGAGTGATTATGGTATATAAATTAATATTTGGCTTAATACTCAATAATAATATACAGGTCATTTTTAAAAAGTTTATATTATCCATCGTAATTTTCTGTAATTGAAGAAATGCCACATTTACATGGAGTATTTACACATTTACAGATCACATATTTAGCATATATTTTATAAATTAGACACTGATTTTTCTATTTGGATCAAATAGTTTTTGACATTAAAAAAGTAATCCTTATCCAATAATTACTTTATCCAGAATGCAATTTCAAAAGGTGAAATTCACCCTACCACTATATGATGTGCATTACTTTATTGGCATGAAATAAACACTTACCTGTCTGCCTATTTTTATTTCTCCCCGTGCTACACATTTGCATTATTTCTTTGTGACTATCGATATCTAAATTGTCTGGAGCAAGAAAGCCCCAAAGTAGAGCCATCTAGTCTGTTCCTTCGCACCAACTTAACTTTACAGAAAGGGTTTGTGGTTAGGTTTAATGCCAATCAACTACACAACGGTCATTAAGGTTGCTTTTCACCAGTCAAGGATACTTTAATCTTAATAGTTATTAAAGTAAACAAAGTATATATACTGACATACACCCCTGCAAGTGTATAATACACTGTGCTTACATATACACCCAGAATATATACAAAGTCTACAGTAAATTTTAATTGACAGCTAAATGAACGTAGGTGTAATACAGTTGACCACAGATAACACGGTAGTTTCCCTTTCTTCTGAAAATGCCTTGTAATACACTCCCACCCAAAACAAAAAGCTAAATTGTGGGTCAATGTGGTGTGTCAAAGATACTAAATCCACCCTTGCAACTGTATAGGGTTTATAAAGGTGGGGTAGGCGGATTACATGGGAGGGGTAAACCAGATGAACAGATTAGGGGATTTGGCATGGGGGACCAAACGCGTGAATAGGAGGGGGGGGGGGGGCGCAGAGCAGGAGATTGTCATTAGGAAGGTGAGGATGCTGGGCCCCCAATTGGGGAAAAAAAGGCCCTGGAAGCCAAGTTGGTGTGATGGTGACTGTGTGGGTGCAGTATTCCAGGACCTGGTATTGGTTGGTGGGATGATAGGTGGGTGGGTAAAGTGTGTAGTTGGTTTGGATGCTTGGTGACTAGTTGTAGTGGATGGCAGGTTAGTGTGGCCATGAAAGAGAGGTTGTCCAGTGCCTAGTGTGGCATGATGTAAGATGATGGGCGAGTGAAGTTGTTGGTTAAGAAGGTGGTAATGATAGTGGTTGGGTAGAACATGTTTTGGAATTAGTACAAGTCATGCAACGGTAGGGACATCAGGTGAGGAACAAATGGGTGATGTTGGGCTTGGGAAAGTTGTTACGCTTGAGGCAGTAGAGGAATGGTGTAAGGCATGTGGCCATGAGGGGTATTTGTATGGGTAGGTGGGGGAAGGTGGAAGGGGGGAAGATTATTATT